CCTGGAGGCAGATAAATGCTGTATGGATGGTGCTGAGGGCCCTCTGGTCACCGTGGTCAGGACACTGAGTAGACCTGGTACCCTGTGTCATAGCCAGCACCTCAAAGCTAACGCTGGCTCCTCATCACACAAGCCTCCAGGGAAGCTCGCCGGAGCCAGGCAGCACACACCAGCTACCCCCACCCTGCCCTGACTCCTAAGCCCCAGGCATTGAGAGGCAGCTGTGACTCCGCCTGATCCTTCCACCCACTAGAGCAGGCTCCAGAGCCTCCAGTGGAGGAGGTGGCCCTGTCCCTGGGATGGGATGGGGGCCATGATTCTCACTTCAGCTAGATGGGAGGATTATCAGGGATCAAGGCCCAGGTACAGAATGGTCACCTGTCCCCCAGGATTCCCACACATGGGAGGTGTCCACCAGGGGGCAGTGGTTAGACCGGGGTTGGCCATTGGAAGCGCAGCAGAGGCAGAGGTGGCCCTGTCAGATGCCTCCTCCCTCAGACATGCTTCCTCGGGCCTGCTCCCGTCCATCTGCAGAAAGCTAAGCATTCTTCTGAAGGAAAATCACACACACACACACACACACACACACACACGCACGCACGCACGCACGCACGCACACACTTTACACACAGCTTCAAGGGGACTCTGGAGTCAAACTAGGGTTAGGATGGTCAACCACCTGCCACCTAGGTGACCTTGAACAAGGGGTGAATTTTAAGAGAGTGAGGCTGACTGCGACTGACAAACACCTGACTCCTCCGGAGCTCTGTGCCTGGAGTTCTCTGTGAAATGGAGGTGGCCCTGTCTGCTCAACAATGAGAACTCGGTGCTCTGCCCTGGCACCACCATCCTCATCTCCTCCATCACCATCACTATGGCTGTCACGTCCATCACTCCCCTTCATCACCTCCACCATCCTCATCACCACATCCACAATCACCATCCCCGTCGCCATCATCACCTCCACCGTAGCCAGTACCATCATCACTTTTACCACCCCCCATTACCTCGACCATCTCAGCCACCACTCCCATCCATATTACCACCTCCATCGTCACCATCGTCACCACCATCACCTCCATACAGCCATCACCATTATTATCTCTACCTCCACCATCATCCTTAACTCCATCACCACCACCATTACCTTGATCATCACTTCTCATTAAAACCACTATTACTATCACCACCACCAGTATCACTGTCCCTACCCCCTCCACTACCACCATCATCACCATCACAGCCGTCACCATGGACCACTCCTAAAAGCCACCCACAAAGCCGGGGTGTAAGGCTTTATCTAGGGGAGGGTTTTTGAAATTGCATTTTGGATGGCCGGCAAGAGCATTTCTAAAGGGAAAGGCAGGCTAGGAGACCTCAGAGAGCCTGAGAGCAGGAAGGGGCACCTCAGCTGACAGAGCTTTACCTACACCTTGCCCCCAAGTCACACACCCTGGTCACAAGGTAAGGGTCCTCTTCTGCCATGGCCCTGGTTGGCACTGGCAGCCCCTCTCTACAGAATCCAAGGGCTGTGCAATTTCTGACTCACTGCCTAGGAGTCTCAGAACTGTGCAGCTGAAGGGGTGGGGTGGGAGTCAGAAAGACCATAGCAGCCTGGAAACCACTCAGTGTCCGGCCAGCACACAGGGCAGGGAACAGTGTGTGTCTGGTGCTGTCTTCTAAACACAGGTTTCATTTTTTCAGAAATCTCATCAAATATTTACACGGGCAGGACAAGGCCTCATCAGTATGGAGAAGAGGTGCCTGTTAGTGTTCCTTGTCCTGAGCCACTGCAGCGGGTAGCTTTCAGAAGCACAGCAGATATCCCAGGGACCCCGGAACCCAGCCCAGGCCACCCCTGCCTTCCAGCTTCCCCTCACCCAGCACTACAGAGCCTTGCTCTGGAGGGAAAATGGGACAGACTCACTCGTGGGGATGCCCAGAGGAGCCATTTCACACCCCAGGACCACACAGCACTCCAGGCTGAGCCTGGTGGTGAATCAGACCCCAGCTGGACATCTAGCCCCAGACTGCTCCCCTTCCCCTCCCCACCTCTGTCCCATGTTTCCCCTCCCCTCTCTGTCTTACCCCACCCACCTGTGGGCCATGAGACCTGCCCCCCCCCCACTCCAACCCTCAAAGCTTCTGCCTTGCTCCTGGCCAGGGGCAGCAATCAGCAGGACCTCAGCTTTTGGAGGTCTGGAGGCTGGCTGCGTGCCCCCCCACACACAGGTTGGAATGTCATCCAAGCAGAGTCACGCTGATTCCGCTCCAGACTGGCCCTTCACCTCTCCCAGGCTTGACCCCTGAGGGTGGCTGCTGTGCCCTCCTAAGAGCAACATGGAAGAAGAGGGGCCGACAAGGATATGGCTGGAGACCTCAGGGGACTATCTGCACCCAGGCAATGCCCCCGATGCCACTATCTACCATTAGCATTGGGGAGCAGAGGGAAGCAGAGCCTGCAGGAAAATTTTTGGAAGATATTTCTGAGGTGGTTCCAGCAAGGGTTTTCCCTGGATAGCGGGCAGGCCTGGGTGGCTGTGCCAGTCAGCAAGGCCTGAGCAGACTCCAGGGGCCACATTGAGGCCTCTGGGCCACCAGGGCCCCGGTCACATCCACCACCAGTTGATGCTGACCCAGGAGACAAAGGAGAGCCCATCTTCAGTATACAGTCTGCACTGGAGCCTCCTGGGGTGCTGTTTGGGGGTGCACTAATCCTTTCTATCCAGTAACGCCTAGCACTGTGAACAGCCACAGTGACCAGCTCTCTGTATGGCTTCCTGACATTTCCTAGGAAGGACACACCCACACTGACCCGGCCCTCACTGCCATCCAACTTTGGAATACTACCCATGAATGCTCAAGCCACGATACTGGGGCACCCAAGAGCCCCTGGACCAGCTTCCACCACAACCTAACACCTGGGCCTGGCGCCACCTCCACCTGCCGCCGGCCTCACCATCCAAGGCACCTCATGGCCATGGAGGGTGGCCCATCAGAATTCTGACTGAGCCGAAGGCAGCTAGCTTTATGTCCTGAATCTCTGTCTTTCTGTTCTAAAGTAACCATTGGAATAATTTTCTTACAGAATGATAGTTGCCATGACAACCAGAGCAAATTTTCCTTTTCTGAAACAGATGTCTCATTTAGTTGAAAATTAGAATGTGAGCAAACCCATGGGAAAAATTAATTCAAACTTTAACAGAGCGCTGAATACAACGTAATCTCTCCGAGGTTAACCCCTTAACAGCTTTTCTGTGTGCTTCTGCTAACCTTCAGATCAAGCCTAATTAGGCCCCGCTTAGCCAATATAAATGACCTCCTCGTGGCCAATCATTACGGGGTTCCCCTGAAGCGTGAGCTTGGGCTCCCTGGTAGCTGACGGGGCTGCCAGCACTCATGGAGAGCAAGCAGCTGAAGCCGAGTCCCAGTTTCTACTTCCCCAAGGCAAGCATTCAGCCCCGAGTGAGCATGTTTCCTGGGGTTCAGCCAGGGGTAGAGTGACCCCTGGCTGAACCCATTTCCTGGGCCTAGAGTGTAGGGCAGTGGAGGCCACAGGTGTTCCTGAACACTGAGGGGGCATCCACAGAGGGACCTCTCAGTCTTCACACCTACCGGGGGGGGGGAGGTGTGTGTCACCATGGCTACCACAGACACACAAGCTGGGGTGCAGAGCCATACCTAAGTGACATAGTCCAGAGCCAGACTCCCTCTTCCAACCCAAAATGATAAAAATACCACCCGTCTACGTTATCGCCCTCCATGTATAGTTGCTCAGTTAACTGTTGGGGTGACACTGCTGCGAGACCCCCCCAATGAGGCACAAGGAAGTGTTAACACAGAGGAGACAAGTGGTGTATGAGGGTGCACAGGAGCAGAAAGGACTTGGGCCAGGATCCCAGACACCTGCATCCTGTGTCCAAGCCAGTGGCTGATGCAAAGAACCCCCTGGGGTGGCCAGGCACCAGCTCCCTCTTCCAGGGGAGCTTCCTGCCCAAGCATCTCCCACAGGCTCCCTGGAGCCTTCAGGCTGACTAAACAGAAAAGATGAGCCTGAATCCCTCACAGGCTCCCTGTGACTCCTCCAGATCCCTCCATGGCTCCCCACGGCCTCCAGGACACAGTCCTCATGACACACAGGGCCCTTGAACCTACCCCAGTTGACTCAGACAGTCCAGCCCAGGTCTCCATGAAGTTCCCACACCAGCCTTGACGGTCCCTCCCTGCTCTGTACCTATCCCCAGGCTTGGTCCCCTGCTGTCCCCACATCGGAGGGCCTTCCTAACTTCTCCCATTCATAAGGCCCAACTCAAAGGCCATCTCTTCCAGAAGTGTCCCCTGATCACCTCCCTCCTTAGGCACAGGTTCCTCATCCCCACCTGGATGGTCTGTTGTCTGCTCCTCCAGCACAGGTCCAGTGTCCCCTGTATCTGGCAGAGGGCTGAGCCTGGGTGGCCCTTAGGGGAGGTCTGTTTAAGGAGCACATGAGTGAAAGATGAATAAAAACTGGACTAAGCCAGCAGGTGTTCTGCCTGGCTGCAGATATGAAAGAATGTACATACGTACATACGTGCGTATTAGCACCCTCCCCTCTGCACCCTCCCCTCTGCACCCTCCCCTCTGCACCCTCCCTCTGCACCCTCCCCTCTGCACTCTCCTAGTGGGATCCCTGCCCTAGGACTTGCTAGTCAAGCTCCAAAGTGACAACCACTCTTATCAGGGACGCCTGCCACCTGCTAAGCTTCCTGCTGCCTCCCCCTCTCCAGGGCCTGCCCAGGTGGCAGTGTGCGCCCATTTCACAAGGAAGAACCTGGACCCCAGTGTCTCCACCTGCATTCTGATGTTCAGAAAGCTTGACTCCCAGGGACCCCTCACCACCTCCATGGACTCGGGTACAGAGAGCTGGACTCCTGGTAGCCTTCCTCAGACCCCAAAGTCGCCCTTTGCAGGAGACCTGCCCCGCCCCCGCCCCCCCCCCCCCCCCCCCCCCCCCCCCCCCCCCCCCGGCCGCTAATTCTCATTCCTTCCTCTTGAGGCTCCCTGGTGTCTTACCTTCCCACGCTGGCTCAGAACAGAACAGTTACCTAGGCCACCTCCCAGCCTAGAAGCTGGGCCAGCTGTTGGGGAGCTGTAGAAGGGCCTGCCCAGGTCCCACCTCTGAAGGGCCAACTCACCTGTACGATGTTCCCATCAGCTCCCTGAAAGACAGGTTTCCTAAGCCACTCCCAAGGGGCCAGCCTCAGCCACAGCTAATGAGTGTCTCAGATGAAGCTGCTACTTGTCACTAGCCCCAGTCACACCTAGCACCCCAGCTAGGCTGTAACCCCCTTTTACAGCCTAGAAAACCATGGATAGGACGATAGCTCCCAAGCCCAGAATCCCAATTGCACAGTGCAGACTTCCTATCTACTGGGGACATCACCTCCTACTATGGGAGACACTTAAGTCAGCTGTCCCCTCTATGTCCCTGGGTGCTGCTGGCATGCTAAGGCTGAGGGAAGTGGATAGGTGGTAGGCAGTATGGCCTGAGGCTGCTGAGAGTGGACAGGGTCCTACCAGCCGCCCAGCGTCCAGAAGTCTGTCACTCATGCGGCCACAACCGTAGCCAGCAAGTCAGCAGCGGAGAGTGTGGAGCTGCAGACTGGGTCCCTTGTCATTCCTAATTAATTTCCCCCACCCTTCCGATATGCGGAATCGCTCATCTTTTGTTTTGCTGGGACTCTGTGCAGAGATGGCAGATGATTCGTCTCAGACGTTAATCTTGAGTGGGAGAGTGAGCGGGCGCACAGCAGCCTGCTTGAGAGGACAGAGGCAACAGAGAAGAAGCAACTCCGGAAAAGAGACAGAAGATAAGGATAGGAAAAGGGAAAGGAAGTGTGTGTGCATGTGCATTTGTGTGTGTGTGTGTGTGTGTGTCCTTAAGAGTGTACCTCCCTAGTCCACCTGTGCATGTGTGGACATACATAACTAGATCATGAGTGTGCTTGTGTGTGTGTGTGTGTGTGTGTGTGTGTGTGTGTGTGTGTGTGTCCTTGAGAGTGCACTCCTATCAAGCATATCAATTTGAATGTGTGTGTGAGACTGTCCAGCGGTGCATGTGGACACATGCATGTGTTTGTGTGCACTTGTGCGTGCAGGCATTTATGTATATCATGAATGTGTACGCAGGCTTGTTTATTGACTATATTACATATGTGTAGGCCTGTGTGTGGATTGAATGTGTACATGTGCATAGATATATGAACAATCAGCTCAGTAGGGTCCAGAAGCCAAGGACTCTCTTTCCCTGTCTCAGATACCATCATAGACACAGTAAGCCAGGCCTGGAATGTTGAGTACCAGGAAGGAGAGAGAGAAGGGTGAGCAACAGTGGACCCACTCACGGGTGACAGGCAGGGTCTCTGGGGGCCTGAGCCATGTCATGTGCTGCTGGCTCCCATGTGGCTATCACAGGTTGCCCTTGTTTTCCTGGGAAGAATCTGAGCTTACCCAGTCATGTAGACAGCTCCCTGAACAGAGACATGTGGCTCCTGACCGACCGCGCGCGCGTGTGGGTTGAAGACAAGGAAAGACGTTACTGAGGTGGCCTCAATGACCACCCCGTGGCTCGGTGCTCAGCAGCTGCCTCTTCTCTCATATGCAGAACTAGATGAGCCATAGGAGGGTCGGGGAGGCAAGAGCTGAAGCCCCGCCCATTCTGCTGTCCACAGGGACCACCAGAGGGCAGGCCAGCGTCAGGGGGAGGCTACCCACATCAGCACCAGCTGAGGCTATCACCCTGCCTGAGCAGAGCAACCCACATACCTGCCTCCTCCCAGCGCTGAGAGCACAGGCCAGTCAGTCCCTCAGCATCTCTGCACATCCCCCAGCTCAGCCATGACACAAAATGGCATAGTCCTGTCTGTCCCGTCGGGACAAAGATCAAACGGAGCAGTTTGGGGAAAGCCACCAAGTACCAGCCTGGGTGTTGTGAAGGCCATAACCTCAGGCTAACAGCACCCAAAGATGCAAGACAGTCTAAGACAAATGCTGTGTGGGGGCTTCGTGGGAATAGTCCTTGAAGTCAGTAAGACAGCAAGAAGCTACCAAGTCAGGGAGGGGAGGGAACAGGTGTATGACATACGTTCTTCAAGCTGGACCCTGGGGGCTTCAGTAAAAGAGCGGACCACAAAGCCCTCACCCTGATACAGTGCAGGATCCTCTACCAAGGACTCCAGAGCCCAGACCTCCAGCAATGGGTCCCCAGCCCTAAGCCAAGACACCAGCATAAGGTAGCTCCTGCTGGGCACACTCACAGACTGAGACAGGCAAGTCCCTCTGAGAACATCACAAAACCAGGCAATACCCTAAACTGTGCTATGCACCAAACAGGACTGTGCTCTTCCCCGGTGAATGACATTCATCGAGCACCTCGCTGTGGCTGTCCTGAGGGCACACGGTTCCCTCCCTGGCCCGGCTCCCCTTGATCCTTGTGGGGCCTTCCTTCGTAGCAAGTCAACCTGCTTCCTGAGTCTCAGCACCTTCTGTCAAATGAGGGAAAAGGAGGGAACCTCACTAATTGTCTTGGGGGTTGTGATAAGACAGACACACACAGCTGTCACATCAGCAGGCTTCCCTGAGTGCCATCACAGACAAAGTTCCCAGGCTGCTCCATTCCTGCCCCAGGCTGTGCAGCAGGCCTACTTAACTGTACAAAGTAGGAGAATGGCACAGAAAAGATGGCATGCGTGCCCACCCCGGGCCTGCTCCCAGAGGCCACCAGGCACTCGCTGTCCCATGCCTGAATGAAGGAGGGTTATCTGTGGCTATTGGCTATGTAAAGGCAACCCTCATTATCCCTAGCCCCAATACTGCGTGGCCACAGCCAGCAGCATGATGAGACACCAACTGTGTGCCAGGCAATGTCTATATCTGGCCTCTTTGAATGCTAAGGGCAAGGGGACTCATTGTGACACCATCTCACAAAGCCAAGGTTCCAGCCACTGCCACACTGCTAGCACCCACACACCAGGCTGGGTTCTCAGCCCAGCCTTGCAGAGCTGGCCCTTGAGGCCCTGGTTCCTAGAGACAAGAGAAGTCCCCTCCTTGGGCCTCAGGGGCCAGCCCTGACAGGAGGCAGCCCAGCCAAGCACAGAATCGGTATCTGAGCCCAGCCTCCCAGGCGCAGGCCCAGCAGCCGCTTCCCCAAGTTCGGTGTCTCAGCAGGTTTAGATCCCTTCTTTCAAAATACCAGAAGTAATTAGAGCAGATGGGCTTGCTGCGTGCCAATTTCACTCTCTCCCTCACTCCTTTCTCTCTCTCTCTCTTTTTTAAATCAAGGCCGTTTTTAGTTAAATGAGAACAAAAAATGCATCCAAAACCCATAAATGAATAGAGTATATATGCAGGATTTAAAAAAAAAAAAAAGGCAGGATTTTGCAAAAACTGACTCTGTCCTCTTCCTGGAGTTAGCTCCGCCCCAGAGCCACTCTAGGTGGTGGACATATGCCCAGCTGTAGCTGAGGGGGCCAGCAACAGTGTCCAAAGTCCCACAGAGTCACTACGTGCCCTGGAGGGAGGCAGGTTTTCCCAGATTTTTGCTCCTTCTTTCCCTTCCAGATGTTGGAGGAGGACAGGCCCAGGTCAAGGGCACAGGGAAGTGGGCATCCAGCCTTGGGTGTCGGGGTGCTAGGAAGAGTGGGCAGCGTGGTGAGACAGGAGGTGGCATTCTCACCATGGTGTTCAGAGTCCAGCGTGGACTAGGAGGCTAGCAAATGAGGAGTTGGTATAGGCCTGGGAGGAGGCCACAGAAAGATGCACACACAGGCAGACAGGCCAGGATTGGGCTGCAGTGGACCTGGGATGAGGCCACCACAGAAAGATGCACACACAGGCAGACAGGCCAGGATGGGGCTGCAGTGGGCCTGGGATGAGGCCACAGAAAGATGCACACACAGGCAGACAGGCCAGGATGGGGCTGCAGTGGACCTGGGATGAGACCACCACAGAAAGATGCACACACAGGCGGACAGGCCAGGATGGGGCTGCAGTGGACCTGGGATGAGACCACAGAAACATGCACACACAGGCAGACAGGCCAGGATGGGGCTGCAGTGGACCTGGGATGAGACCACCACAGAAAGATGCACACACAGGCAGACAGGCCAGGATGGGGCTGCAGTGGACCTGGGATGAGACCACCACAGAAAGATGCACACACAGGCGGACAGGCCAGGATGGGGCTGCAGTGGGCCTGGGATGAGGCCACAGAAAGATGCACACACAGGCAGACAGGCCAGGATGGGGCTGCAGTGGACCTGGGATGAGGCCACAGAAAGATGCACACACAGGCGGACAGGCCAGGATGGGGCTGCAGTGGACCTGGGATGAGGCCACAGAAAGATGCACACACAGGCAGACAGGATGGGGCTGCAGTGGGCCTGGGATGAGACCACCACAGAAAGATGCACATACAGGCGGACAGGCCAGGATGGGGCTGCAGTGGACCTGGGATGAGGCCACAGAAAGATGCACACACAGGCAGACAGGATGGGGCTGCAGTGGGCCTGGGATGAGACCACCACAGAAAGATGCACACACAGGCAGACAGGCCAGGATGGGGCTGCAGTGGGAGTCCACTGCAAAGACTCCTCCCACCTACGCATTCATCCATTGGAGAAACATTTATCAACATAAGCCAGGTTCGGTATCGGGCTTTGAAGTCAGAAACAGAGATTATGTGTGGAAGCGGCCCCTGGTCTCAAGTGTCCCAGCAGAGGTGATATCGAAGAAACCAGTTGTTAGGATAACATACAACACCCCCATCCTGTTCTGAATGAGCTGGTGGGGTGAGGGGCAAGAGCAGACCCAGGCCCTTGCAGAGTCAAGGTGTCAGAGCAGGACACGAATTTTCCCTTCATGGTGTCTGCCAAGGGGTGTGCACAAGGAAAAACACAAAGTGGGGATCCCCCCCCACACCTCACATCAAGCACCACCATTGCCAGTGGCTCCACTGCCCAAGCCTGAAAAGCCAGCAGTAAGGTTCTGGAGAGGGGGAGAGGGGAACAGCAAGAGGGGGAACATGGAGAGAAGACCCTGTCAGCAGGACACAGGAAGCACTTGCCAGGAAGAAAAGTGCTCACATTTGATCACACCCAAACCCAAGCTTCTGTTCATCTCATTGGCTCTGTGGGTGAGGAGAAGGCAGGTCAAGAAGATGGAAGGCAATCTGAAAGGTGTCAAGGACCAGGGACTCGTCCCCCACTCAGAACACACCACGACTCTCCAGGGAGCGGTAAGAAAGAGAAAAAACAGGACTAGCCAGGGGGTGGGGAGGGCAGCCTGGTGATAAGGGAACTTGCCTAGCGTGCATGAGATTCTGGGTTTCATCCCCCACATCACCCCAACCAAAAGACAGACCACCCCTGCCCCCAAATAATGGACTAGGCAAAAGACATAAACGCTTCAGAAAAGAGGAATGTAGGTGGCCAGAAACCACGGAATGGTGCCAAGCCCCACCGTAGCACCAGCACCCACCCAAGAGTGAGTAAAGCCTAAAGCCTTATGGTACCAAGTGTTGGCAGGGGTACAGGTAAGCAAGCGGCTGCTGGCAGAGGACATCACTTGGCAAACTGACTTTGCTGAAGAGAACGCAGGGCTGAGGAAGTGACTCGGATGAAGGGCTAGTGAAAACATGAGGACTAGAGTTTGGATCCCCAGCACTCACATAAAAGCGGGAGGGCGCGGGGGCTCCACGCAATCTCTGCTTGTTCGCAGACCCCTCGTGCAAGCAGATCACCCCTTGTCAAAGCCGCAGGGGCTCTCATATTGCGCTCACCCTGGTGATGACATGCTTATCACTGCCCCCCCCCCAATGCTGTGTGGTCCACTCCAACCCCCTCTTGGCACAGCCAGCCATGCCTCTGAAGCTTTGAAGGATACCTGAATGCCACACACCAGCCAATGTGTCCAGGGAGAGAGAAGCAATAACCCTGCCACTCACGTACTGTTTAGTTTTAGTCAAGAACTTGATAAAGTCATCTGGGAAGAGAGTCACAATGAGGGACTGACTGTAGATTAGGCTGGTTTGGAGCATGTCAATAACCATCAGTCAGTCTGTCCCACCATAAGCTGCCCCGGGGGTAGCTGACCAGTGCCCAGAAATTGAGTGTGTCCACTTGAAACCTCAAGATATAGCTGAGGAGATTCCATCCCACATACCTCACCCGGGTCTGGGTGGAGTCCATAGCCAGGCCAGGAGGTTCTTAAGCTATGAACACATGTTTAAGGGCTGGTTTATACCACTTCTATGTGTGTGGCTTCTAGCATCCCTGAGACACCAGCCAACGTGGGTTCCTTCTCCACCAAGGGACCTGGAAGGTAATGAACATCCCTATCCTGTGACCTGTGACATCATCACATTTCCTAGCCATACATAGGCCTCAGGATGGCTCCACAGCTTGGCCAATGCTTCTGCAGCTCAGTGGCAGGGATGGGACCTGACTCCTAGGTGACAGAGCTAGCTCACCAGGCCAGGAACACTGGCGAGATGCACAGAGGCCTCACTAGCGGGGGCATGATGGCTGCCCCCCAGGGCCTCCTGAGACAGAGGATAGAGGAGGGAGTCACCTGTAACCCACAGGTGCATACACACCAGCAGTGACACAGCTTCCAGGGTGAGCATCCCTCTGTGCACCCACATGCGCACAGGCACAGAGTGGGACAGGGTCCACACAGCTCTCCTGGTAAAGAGCCCCAGGGAGGCAGCAGGCCCCAACCGTCCATCTCAACACTGTGGTGGTCCTCAAGTACTCCCTCCCTGGAGGGACACTGAGGGAGGTGACTCTGGAAAGCCTGGTTCCCAATAGCTTGGAGGAAGGCAGGGCAGAGCTGCCAGCCAAGGACCCGAGGGCAGAGGCTCTGCTCAGTCTGTGGTTTCTGTCTCTTACTGTGACCCACCCAGGGCCTGGAAGTAACGCTACAGTGCCCACAAGCCTGGCACCCTCTCCAGCCTCGTGGTCTTTGCCTGCAACAAACTACTCCCTTCCCTACTTCCTTAGCTCTGTGATCTCTTCAGTTCCCAGTTCTCTCCATGGGTGCTTTCCCCAGACCCCAACTCCCAGGACTTCTTCCTGAGTCACAGGACAGCTGCTGACTGCCATTGGCCACCAGGGTAGGAACCCAGGACAGCAGCAACCACAATGGTTGAGTTCTCACCACATCCACGGAGGCTCAATGGGTGCCGAGCTCTCAATAAATACTCATGGCTGACTCGATGCCTTTACTGTTGAACCAGGAGAATGACTCTCAGGCCTCCACGGCCCCTGGGGCACCCAAGTAGTGCGTAGGAAAACACTGCATGATCTCCACTTCAGAAAGGGCAGAGTTCACCAGGAGCCTGGGGTGCCTCTGCCTTGGTAACCCTGGATGAACCATGTGCTTACCTGAACCTCTTCTTGCCCATCTATAAAGTGGGGGTAGTTGCCAGCTTAACCCTCAGCTGACATGGAGTTAACGCCCTTCTGAGGATGCCCCCTTGATCATGAGTTACAAGAACCACGTATGAGACCACTGATGGTACCTCCCTTGTTCCTTCATCCGGACAGACCTCAAGCCCCGATATAATGCAATAGCATCATCTTCCCATGGCACAGTGGGACCAGAGAGGCTGCCTGGAGTGGTGGTGCCTTGATTTTCACAGCCTGTGTTTGAGGCACACTGCCAGAGACGCAGCTTCCCCAGCATGCGGATGTCAGAGGGGAGGGGACCGCTCTCAGGACTAATTCTGCGACACCACAGAAGCAGATCTGCGCAATCGGCTCCCAGCAGTGGATGGCATGGTGAAATATGGCCAGTTTATCAGGCTGTGTGTCACCTCCTGTCACCTGCTCCCAGCCCCAGGTGGCATGACCTCAAAGAAACGAGCAGAACTCTGAACACAGAACGGCCTTGGGACTGTTCATGTCACCAGGCCAAGCACAGCCAGGCTGAGAAATCGAAGTGCTCCCCTTCCCTAGCCACACCTCCTTTAGTCCCAGTACTAAAGCCCATTCCAACAGGAAGTATCCTGGGTTCCACCATGCTCTTTCATGAGCACAACTGCACAGCTTACTGCCCCCCACATACCCTATTCATTTGCTCTGCTGGCCAGCCTGTGCTCCCGCTGACACAGGTCTGGGGTCAAGAAGAAAGGGTCCCTTGATCTCCGGGCCTGGGGGAAACCAGGAACGAGAGAGGCCAGTAATGTCCACATTGAAAGCCACAGTGGGGGCCACTGGTGGCTGGAGCTCAAAGCAGCTGACAATAGCTGAATTGGCAGCTGGCCTCACCCAAGCATCATCCTCATGGCCAGTTCAGTGATGGGGTGTGACCTCCCTTTACAGGTGAGGACCACACACCTAGGAAGCCCTAGTACTGAGTCACCCAGCTGATTATTAAGGGGGCTCTGATGAGCCTGGCTGCTGAGTGGGGGGACCCGAGAGCCCTGTCCATATCCCCATCCCCCTCACCCTCATTGCTAGACCATGTAGGAAGGGCATCCCTAAGACAAACAAACAAAACAGGTCTCCAGTCTCTGAGCACTATGGCAACTCAGGGGAGCCCTCTGACGCCTTACAACTACCCACTGGAGGAGGGGAGGGCACACTGCCACCTCCATTCTGTAAGAAAGTGAAGTAAGGCATAGAGAAGTCACCCAGTGATCACACAAAATGTGAGGCTAAAATTAAACTCAGCTTTTTTGGTCCCCAAGCCATGCCTCTAATCTTTTGTTGTTTTTTTTTTGTTTGTTTTGTTTTGTTTTGTTTTTTCGAGACAGGGTTTCTCTGTGTAGCTTTGCGCCTTTCCTGGAACTCACTTGGTAGCCCAGGCTGGCCTCGAACTCACAGAGATCCGCCTGGCTCTGCCTCCCGAGTGCTGGGATTAAAGGCGTGCGCCACCACCGCCCGGCAATGCCTCTAATCTTTACAATACCTTTTCTTAAGGTGGGATGTGTGTGTGTGTGTGTGTGTGTGTGTGTGTGTGTGTGTGTGTGTCTGTGAGAGGTTGTGAACCACAGAGCAAAGAGCTGGTCCTAATTCTTGACCTCATACACAGAGCCTCCACCTCTCACCCTGCTGGCCCCACCCCACCTTTGCCCTGCCCAGACTGTACCAGCCTCAGGACCCAAGCCTTTGCTCACGCCTCCCAGATGAGCTGTTGCATGAGCAAGCTTCTCCAGACTGGCCCCCGTGGCCTGCCAGGCAGCCTCAGTCACCTTCTCACCTCCGTGCCCTTGGTTTTGAGTCCCTCGCATCCTTGAGTGCCAAAGAACCAGGAGAGTACATCAAACCCTTGAGCACCACAAGCCCCGGGCAGAGACAGCAGGCTCCTCCTGGAGAATGGGTCAGGCTGGCACCTCCCCTCTCTCCTGGGCTTTCTAAGATCCAGACAAAGTCCTTAACCCACCTCAGCCTCAAATCACCAGGGGGCATTAAACACGACAGCCCTGGGTTTCCCAGATGTGCTGTTTGCATGGCTCTTCACCCTGCAGGCACCTGTGTCCCCAGTCAGTGCCTCTGCCTCCCTGTCTATGCGAGTCCTTGTCTCCCCCTGAGGCTGGGGTCATCCACCTCCTCTGGCGAGCTTCCCCTTACCCGGCCAGCACTTCACACCCTATGGCCACTCAAGGGTCAATAGATTTATCCACTTGTAGAAAGTGGATAACACATCAGACCCATGAAAGCATTGTGAAGGCTTTGGTCCACGGACCAATGACATGATGCCACAGCCAGCAGCAGCATCACCACCATCTTATTCACCACCTGATCATCATCATTACCACCATCCTCGGCACCACCAACATCATCACGATGATCACCACTGTCATCCTCATTGCTGCCATCACGACATCCTCATAACCAACATCATTATTATTACTACTGCCATCATCTATCACCACCATCATCACCATCATCACCATCACAACCATCATCACCATCACCACCATCACCATCATCCACCACAACCATCATCATCACCATCATCCATCACAACCATCACAACCATCAATCATCACCATCAGCACTATAAATTATCACCCTCACGACCACCATGGTTATCAGCAGCAACACCATTACAGTCCATACCATTGTCACGGACACACACAGACATCACAAAGACAGTCTGGACCTATGGTCACTTTGAGCACCACCCAACCAGGTGAGTTCTGAGAGAAGGCCCAGTCGGTTACTGTGTCTCCATCAGAGTGAGGATTCACTATGCATTTGTTTTCAAACGGCTGCCCTCCCCACACAGGAAAGTGCATAGTGAATCCACCTGAAGATCCAAAAGGCCTTTCTTCAGTGAGATGGATCCCACAACCACACTCCGTTCTGTGGGAGGACAGAAGACAGGCAGAAAGGGATGCTCCCTAGTGCTCGAGGCTCATGTTTGATGTTTGAAAGCCAGATCCCTCCCCTGCCTGTCTCTGAACCTCAGAGACAGCTGGAGACAATAGCACCTGCCTGCATGTAAAACCGTGTATAGCACAGAGGATGTAAGTGATGCTACCATTCCTTGATTCCAAATGGGGAAACTGAGGCCCAGGGGTAACAGTGACCTGCCTGAAGTCAGACAGAGAGTGGGAAGGACAAAATCAAATCCCAGGTCCTCTGTCTGCTTTGTACTGGCCCTGAGCCTCAGCTTTGGGTCCCCACCACCCGCTCTCAGTGTAACCCTGTAACCGGTGGTGACGATGGGGGCTGGGCACACTCACCACGGGGAGCCGTAGATCCTGAAGCCACGCACAGTGACCTCTGAGTCCTGCAGGTAGATGCAATTGGTCAGCAATGACTGCACATTCTCATAGTTCTCCGGCTTCAGCTTGGACACAGATGGGAAGTAGTAAAAGTCCTGCTTGATAAGGTCAGCCATGAACTCCTGGTCGAAGGTCAGCTCGTGGTTGCCCGCAATCACAATCTTGTACTCGTAGGGCAGGCTGCCTGTGGGATGGACACGCACAGAGCAGGCTGCTGGCAGCCCTTCCGGAAGCCACAGCGCCACCAAAGGAAAGAGCTGGGAACAGCCACTATAATCCCTCAGCAAAGATGTCCCCCTGGCCCCGCCCCTCTGATCACGGGCCCTGGCTCTGCCTGCCTGGGCCACCACTGACCATAAGTCCTTCAGCACAAGGGCAGGGTCCTCCCCAGCACCTAAGCCACAGGTACCAGCCTCACCTTCTCTGTTTCCAGGCTACCACCAAGTCTCTCAGCCTCTCTATCTTAGGCTCCTCAGCCTACACATCCCAACAGATATTGCAAGTTCTTTGTAGAGCCCGGTTCAGAGATGGTACACTCAGGGAAAACCCCAGTGCCCAGCAGCACCAACATGGAATTCACAGTCAAAACAAGGTCCAGGATTGCCCAACCTTTTGAACACTATGGGTGATGTCATCTGCAAAGTTCACATTGAGAACCACACAATCAAGTTACAAAAAAACAAACCAGGTGGTGGCGGTGCACACCTTTGATCCCAACACTCAGGAGGCAGAGGCAGGCAGATCTCTGGGAGTTCAAGGCCAGCCTGGTCTACAAAGTGAATTTCAGGACAGCCAGGGCTACACAGAGACCCTGTCTCAAGTAAATAAATAAATAAATAAGTAAGTAAGTAAGTAAATAAATAAATAAATAAATAAATATTACAAATGAACAAGAGGATAACAGCCTCAGAGGACGGGGCAGTGTCCACCTACAGCCATTCACCCTGCCCTCATTCCGTGCCCAGGCTCCACACTGCTCAGCCCTCTGGCTCGGCTGCTGCACTCAGGAAGCTGTGATGGCTTGGGAAGCCCTGGCTTGGATAAAAAATGAGATGTTGGGCTGTGGAGATAGCTTAACTGATTGTTTGCTTTGCTCCAGCTCCACACCCCATGCTGTTGTGTTGTTTTTAAATCCAGGTCTGGTAGCACACACTTGTAATCCCAGTCCTGAGGAAGTGGAGAGGGGTGGGTCCCTGGGCTCACCGGCTTGCCGGTCTAGACCCCCTGATGAGCTCCAGGTCAATGATACATCCTGCCCCCAAAAAAATTTTTAAAATCAAGGCAGAGAACGCCAGAGGAATGACTTGGAGACTGACCTCTGGCCTACGTACACACACACACACACACACACACACACACGCGCGCGCACACACACACGCACACGCACACACGCACACACACACATGCAAATGCAAACACGCATGCAACCTATGTTGAAGAAGAACCAAGTTTGGTCTGCTGCCTGTCTTCAGAGTAACCCACACTCAGGATCTGGAATCAGATTCAACAACCCCGTTGAGACTCAGCCGCCATGTGCATTCTGGGAAGAAGGCTGGTCCCAGCCTCAGATGAGAACCAGGACAGGCAGATCAGGCTTAGGGCCTTGTGATATGTGACACCATGGGACTCCACACACTCACTGCTGCATAACCCAGGCAAGACAGAAAGGTGAAAAATTCAGGGGACAGAGGAATGGGAAGGAGCCCCTCACCCACCAGGTCTGTTTGAAGCTTCTTGACAGCTGAGGATCAAGGTTGCCCACATAGTCAGTGTTCCTTCCACACAGAGATACTTCAAATCATGTTTAAGTGGCAGCGAGCTGTGCTCAAAGCCCGGGCATGCGATCTGGAACATGCCCTTATTTCTTTCCGCATGTGACCTGCAGTTTCCTGGGAATCTCACTAACAAGGCGATTAACTTTGTTCACAGTGAAAACAACTCTCAACTCCCTGTGTAACCCTTGTGACCCAGGGCTTTACCTTATCAACCATAATCCTATCTACTGTATTTCACAAACCACCCTCTGAAGTCAGAGAGAGAGAGAGAGAGAGAGAGAGAGACCCTTAGAAGCCTTTGGAGATGTAACTTCAGAAGCCGCTAAATCATATACATGACTACCACAAAGACAGTTAAGGTCAACTCACTCTCTCTCCTTCCCTCCTCCCTCTCCTCCACTCTTCTCTCTCTCCCTCTCCCTCTCTCTCCCTCCTAACACATACCCACACCTGGGATACAGTATTGCACACTATCTTTTTCCCAAGTTACACACCCCTCTCTAATACCCATACTTAAAACTGTCAAAATGTCTCCTAGGGGCTGAAGAGATGGTGCAGCAGTTAAAAAAATGCTTCTGCCCTTCCAGAGAACCTCAGTGCTGTCCCCAGCACCCACATCTGGAGGCTTACAGTTGCCTATGACTTTAGCCCCAGTGGATCTGATGCCCTCTGCTGGCCTCTGTAGTTGCTGCACTCACAGGCCCATACACACAATCTCAAATCTCCTAATAAACCCTGACTCTGCTCCTCACTGATTCATCCTGAAATTCTTTTCTGTAATTTTGCCTGAGTGGAGAGTTTTTAAAAGGGGTTCTCCAGCAGGAAATCCCCAGCTCCCCGTGACACAAACACAACAGTGACACACTTTCCCAAGCCTGCCCAGCTGAGACCTATGCAACCTGCTCAGCCACATGCCTGACAGTCAAGGCAAAGCGTTGTGTACAGCCACTGACTCTCTGTCTGGCCAGGGCAGTGTGGCAGTGGGGGAACCCAGAGGTGCACACATGCCTGATTTGCACACTTGACTCGATGCCCCCAAGCCTGTTTATCAGCTCTGGGAAGCCATGGTACCAGGACAGGTCTGAGTCCACAGCTCTGTTCCACCATTAACCCCCTGTGGGGCTTGGCATCCCACCGTGCCTCAGTTTCCTCACACATGAGATGGGAACAGGAACACTTGAGAAATCTCTGGCACCACAGAACACACTGAATGGAAATGGACAAAACCTTTTGATATTCAAAAGGAAAAACAAATTCACTTCTCTGAGACAGAATTTGTACACTAGAAGCTACAAGTCCCATCTCTCCCTCCTCCCAGATATATTTAGCTTGGTACTACTTTGCTTTTTAATTGAATTTGTTGCCAGAAATAAAAATTTGAGAGATTCCCAATAAAACTTCACTTCTTATTTCGTTGTTATTATTATTATTATTACTTTATTGTTATTAACGTGTGGTGCTCCTGGTGCAGTCATGAAGTATTGTCTATGTATCCCCTTAGACAGGATGAAGATACCCATTTTCTCCAGTCCCCATCAGTCCTATCCTCTCAGAGTCCAATTCACTCATTTTGAGGTGCTGTCCGCGGACATAGGCGTTTGGGGTTCGGAGCCTTGCAATAACTGTGCCCTGGCCTGGGAGTTTCCAGTGAAGCTGTGGGAGATGGGAGACCCCGAGCTCAATCCTCAGGTTTACTACAACCTAGCCCCTGGTGGGAAGCCCCAGAATCAGGGGAGTGAACATGTTAGCTCCACCCATCTCTGTTCCCAGCGTAAGTCTGGTGAGTAAAGCCACCTGCTGCACTGGAGCTGAGTAATGGGGACAGAGCTGGGGACAGAGTGGACAGAGTGTCGGGGAGGAGCAGACCACCTGCCCTGGACAGTTGCCCGAGTGCCATCGAGATGTTCATTCCCCACAGAGCCATCCAAGGTAGATGTCATCAAGTCCACTCCATATCTGAGGGCCTCGGAGCTAAACCCAGTACATGGAGGGGCCCCACGGCTCAGGTGCAGGGGCGATGTTACAAGTGTTGACCAACTCGGTACCTCTGGGTCACTGACTCAGAGTCCTTCAAGGCCACCAGAGTCAGCCTGGGAGCCTCACCAGCCCTTCCCCAAGCACAGGACAAGGCCTGGACCAGGTGACAAGAGAATCCAGCAGGGTGGACAGGGGGCCACCGCTGGCTGCCTGCATCCCTGACTCACCCTAGCTTCCACGTCTCACCACCCATCCATCCCACTTCCAGTGCCGGTGAAGCTGGGGGCGGAGCCACGCTAATGGATTCCTGTCATGTCTCTAACTGGGGGTGCTACTTAAGCAAATCAGCAAATTACACCAACTGCACAATTCCATTTGCTTCTGCAGCGGTGACTCCCTGGGGGGCTGGGTGTGCAGGAAGCTGTCAGCTCCCCTCAGGGGTTCCCACCAGCAGACAAGGAGAGCTGAAGAACACAGTCTCCCATGATGATGACAGGGCACAAAGAATTATCTCCCACACCCAGGCCGGAGCTGGACCTTTCCAGGGTGGAACACCTACTCCCATCAACAAGATGGAGGTCTAGCCATGAGTACATCCGTCTGGGTGGTCAGCTGGACTTGGCAGTTCACCAGCTGCCCGTGACCTCCACAGACTCTAAGCGTTTTTCCTTCCCTTTTGACATCCGAGGGAAATGGTTTGGCTTGCCTAAGCCTAAGACAAGTCAGCAACTGAGTGACTGAAAAACATGGAGGGCAGCAGACACTGGGCACGTGTGACAGCATGGAGGTACATTCTGAGCCATCATACTGCCTTGTCTCTCAGCAGGTGGGTGGGTGAATGGGTGGGTGAGTAGGAGGAAGGGTGAGAGGGTGGATGGATAGATGGATGGATGGATGGATGGATGGATGGATGGATGGATGGATGGGCAGATGGAGGACCAGATAAAATGAGTGAGTGGGTAGCTGGTGGGTGAATGAGTAGCTGGGTGGATAATTAGGGGTGGACAGTGAATGGATGAGTGGGTAGGTAGGGGGTGAGAGGGAGGACGGATAAGTGGATTTGTGGGTGGGTCAAAGAGTAAATGGGTAGGTGAATGGTAGGTGGTGGGGCACATGTGTAAGTGTGGGTGATTGAAAGGTGTCTAAATGATTTTACATGCATGGGTGGGTGGGTGGGTGGGTGGGCAGACGGACAAAT